CGCAATATGGTTCATGGGGTCACGAAGAGTCAGACACGACAACGACTGAACAACAACTGTCTGATGGCTCGCCAGGGTTTTAGAAAGAAGGATTAAGAAGCAGTTACTGGGAATTTTGTTTTTCACTTTGTTCCCTCCAAAGCAGAGTAAAATAAGCTGCTCCTCCCATCTTCCTCCAGTCTAGAGACAGCCAGTTAGGGAAAGCGGTCTTTTAAGAATGAGCCACCTCATAGCTCTCTAGCACCCTAAACCAAGTAATTCCTAGAAGCAGAATAAGGTCACTGAGCTGGGGCTTGGATTGGGTTTCCACTTCCAGTATTTTCTAGTCTGCATAAGGGTGCCTAAATAAGGATCCTATCTTTGGGCCCAATCCTATTATCTTCTCTGTTCTATAGGTTCCTTGATAGCATTCAAGAGCACAACAGAATATAGATGCCAAATGGATAGCAGCGCATCAGTTGAGGAAGAAATTAAACTTAGCGTCATTACCCTCACACAGGCTGTAGAGAAGTGCCACCTTATTAACTCAGCTACTGGTACCACATTCTTAGACGAGGTGTTTTAAGTTCTCACAGCTTACCCAAGCAAACTTCTTATTCTCATAGGACATATCATTGCTGCAAGTGTATATAAGGGTGAAAAACTGAAAGCAGAGATTATGTTTCTTGAGAAAAGAGATAGTTGTGCTTCCCATGCTGGAGTTGCAGAGTTTGGATGATGGCACTTTCAGTGGGATCTTGGGGCTGGCCTGTTGTTACAGATCAGATACCATTAAGGGTTTTCTACTAGCATCTCAAAAAACAGCAGCAGCAGCAGCATACATGTCAAAACAGGCAAGATGGCAGTTGCAACATTATGAATGATGCCGTGTTCCTTTGTATGTGCATGCAGTGCCAAGCCACATACAAAAGAGGTTGGGCTTGGGTTGCAATGCCATGATCACCATCTTGTCTGTTTTGATCTCCATACTACATACATCACTGAGCACAGTCTCCAGAGCTAGTTAGACTCTATCTGGGAATCTAAGAACAGAGGAAATAGACTACATTCCACTGTCTTTTCAAAGAAAATTCATTCAGGAATAGAGAGACAATTTTAATACATTTGCTGCTGTCTGTCCTAATTTTCTTTGAGTACCTTGCAGGCTGGAAAATACTGTTACTAACACATTCTCAGATATTTTTATTTATTTCTTCAGGCAAACAATTTTATTAATCAGTTTTGTGCAGCTTGCAGGAGATACCGGAAGGATTTACCACTAATTTTCTTCTTCTAGTTTCTTTTTCATGTCTGCGAGACTCTTTATTACTAAAGCTTACAAGCAGCTTTTAGGGAAGACAGAGAATATGGGCTGTATTCCACCTTGAAAAAATAAGGACAGAAACGTAATCATTTGGAAAACTAAGAGGATAAGAACTGACTTGTTAGGGCAGAGGGATTTTGTTGTTGTTGTTCTTGCTGTTGTTCAAATTCTGCCTTGAAAGAGTTCAGTCCTTTACACAGAGTTTTTTTGGGATGGTAAAGTGGTTTCTAACTGTAGGATTTGGGGTGGATTTGCTGAACATTTTCCCATGCACGTTAACCTACAGTATAAACCAGGCATCTGACCTTTTACCTCTGAAAGATCCAAGAGTCTTGGATATGGAAGCATTTGTAGCATGGCCAGCAGAGGAACCTGCAGAGGATCTGTTCAAGTGCCAAGTAGGAGGAGAGGCTATGCCATGCAACTTCAAATGGCTTATCTCAAGGAAACAAAGGCATAGGTCACAGATTTCATTCAAACCAAGGAACTGTATTCTGTGAACCTGTAACTTTTCTGAATCAGAAGTGGAACACTAAAGAAGGAGTTAGCTGGATGAAAGCTGTGGTGATTTAAATCAAAAAGCATGTTGCCCTGAAATTATGGTAAAACAAAATCTACTCTTAATCAAGACCCAGAAATATGAGCTAAATACTGCAAGCAAATCTCACTAGCACCCATCTGTCCCTCAGTAATCCATTGCTCCTAGTCCGTTCTTTGATTTGCAAAAAATTGGAGAAGCAGGTTAACTTTAATTCCCATGAAAAAGAGGCCTAAAAACTACAATACAGAATTTGAAAATGTATCACTAGAAAGCAACACATATTTTACCTTTTCGTTATAGCATCATCCTTTTAAGCATTTCACATTGCATGTTTTCAGGTGAAAATTCCCCAGAAACAATTACATAAAATCATAAAGGTTAACGACGGGGTCTTCGTACGTATGGAGAAGTAGACAGGAGACTTACCTCAGTTTTTCCTTTACTTTGACAAGACCTCCTGGTATCTTCATCTGAACCCCATTCTGTTGCCTAGGGAACCAAAACAGCACCATGAACTTTGGGGGCAATCCTTCTTTGGAATCACAGGGTAACATTTAAAAGGGAGCCATGCAGGACAGTTTGCAGCAGACACTGTGATAGATCTCTTGCTTTTTTATATTCTCTTGTGAAGTACAAAGGAAAGATGAGAGACCAACTCTCTAGGACCAAGGTAGCAAATGTAGGAACACAGGAGAAATAGTTATTAGATTTTCATATAAATACAATATCATACAGGTAGTCCTCGGTTAATGATGGTAATTGGGACCAAAATGTCTGTCACTAAGTGATGAAGTCATAAAACATGATGTCACACGATTGCATCGCTTAGTCATAGCAACATCGGCAATCCCTGTTGCTGTCGTTAAGTGAGTCATTAAGCAAGGACCTCCTTGCAACTTCCTGCTAGCTTCCAACAACCAAAGTAAGTGGGGAAGCCAGTAGGAAGTTGCAAATCCCAGGTGGGTCACAAGCAGGTGGGTAAGCGGCTGCTGCCAGGTGGGGGATGTGTACGGGGGTGCACGAGAGGCTGGTGCAGCATAGCGGGGCTTGGGGTG